AAAGCCTCATCTTTCTCCCGCGGAACATCTGGTAGTTTCAGACTGCTGAACTTAAGGTTCGCAGCCCAATTTGTAACCACTACGCTACCAGAACTCCACACTAATTTCTACAGAAAAGTACTATTTGGTTCACTTTTATTACGTGAATATCTCGGTGACCCTGTGAATAAAGGAGTGTTACACTGTGGGCCTGCACCCACCAGCCACTCCACAAGAGAAAAACGAGTCAGTCTTACCGTTTTTGGAATTTGCCTCCTGGTGACATCTTGGGTTTCATCTTGAGATGTGGGCAACTGAACAGTCAACTTGAATGTTCCTTTGTCTGGCCATACTAACTCGTGGTTCTCTCTTGCCAAAACTTTCTGCCGAACTGAAATGTCCAACATCAACAACAAAACAAACAAACACAAAAGAAAAATCAAGGGACAAGAAATCTTCAATCACAAGATGATTTATCATCATTAGTTAATAACTTGATCAGTTTCCCAAGAAAGGCTCTACAATGGTGAAAAAAGAAGTTTAGCAATAGACGTGAATCTGAATTCCATTTCTTAACTTCATTTTGTAAATTTGAGTACGTATGCTTTTTACTGTCAAAGCCTCAATTTGGCTTATTAATTAGGTTAATGAAGACTACCTGTAGAGTGTTATGCAGATTAAATTGAAGAAACATCATTAAAAAAAACTAGTACAGTACCTAACACTTAGTAGGAACTCAGAAGGTAGCGATTTTGACTCTTCAGTGAAATAATTAAAGCATTCTATATAGATAGCAGGTGAAGACCAGATGCTGGGGCCTGACATGGTGAAAGCAGTGTTTTGCAAAGGTGACCGGGAGAGTCATAAGCAAAACGGATTGGTGGTACATAGACTAGAAGCCAGGACTCTAGGATGAAGTTGTTTCAATAAATAACTTAGTTATACGAGCCTTATAACCACAAGGACAACAGTAAAGGGTGTAGGAAAGAAGGGATGGGACATGTTTTACAAAAAAAGAAAGCACGTATCAGGCAGCTGGACTGTAATGAAAATACAGGACCATGGAGAGAAGAGTCTAAAGACACGGATTCAAATACCATCTCTGACACTAACAAATTAAGTGACCATGAGGAAGTATCTTAACTTTTCTTGAGTTACAGTTTCACTTTAAATGAAGATAATAATGTCTCCAGAGCAGTGTCTATGAAGTACTTTGTAACATCCTGGAGAGCTATGCAAAGGTAAGTTAAAATCATAAGGAACATCCAGGGAGAGAAAAGGGAAATCACTGTTTCTCAGATGGTGGGGTTCAGGGTATAAGAGAGAGTACGTGTGGTCAACATACACACATGGTACAAAGAGGTCAGGGAAAGGGAACCCTGTGAGAGTGTCCTGTACTTACTGTTCACATGTGTAAAACTGGCATGAATATTGGGTTACCTGGTTGAATTCTGATATGGTTGGCTTGAAGAGGCCAACATCTTTCATAAAGAAGGGCATGCCAGCTTTCCCACTTCAGCTATTTACAAACGGATAAGGAAAAGGGACCTTATCTGGATTTCAACTTAGAACAGGCCTCAGACATAAGCTGAGAAGGAATTCCAAACTCTACTTTCATTCCCTCTACTACTTGTCTATCAGTTTGTCATACTGTGGTGGCTTGCGTGTTGCTGTGATTCTGGAAACTATGCTACTAGTATTTTAAATACCAGCAGTATCACCCATGGTGGACAGGTTTCAGATGAGCTTCCAGATGAAGACAGACCAGGTAAAAAGAGAGATGAACTACTTCCGAAGTTGTAGTAACTGAAAAACTTACAAAGAGCATTGGAACATTGTCAAATAGCACCAGAATATTGAAACATGATAACGTGCACTAGATTATTGTCAGCTATAGTGCCAGATAGTGCAGTAGTTACGAATCGGGCTGCTAACCTCAGGGTCAGCAGTTCGAAACTACCAGCAGTTCCGCGGGAGAAAGATGAGGCTTTCTGCTCCCGTAAAGAT